TAAGTTGTAAGAGTTCTTTATATATTACGGACACAAGTCTTTTAATAGATCTATGTTTTACAAATATTTTCTTCTAGTCTTTGGATTGCTTTTTAATTTTCTTAAAAATGTCTTTGAAAAGCAAATTTTTAAAATGAAGTTTAATTTATCAGTTTTGGGGGTGTTTTTCGTGTCCTATTTAAGAAATTTGGCCTTATTCAAGGTCACAAAGATTTTCTTCTATATTTCCTCCTAGAAGTTTTGTCGTATTAGCTCTAAATTTGTTGGTGTATAATGTACTTTTAGTTATATTTTATATATGGGGTGAAGTAAAGGTGGAGTACATTTATTTTGTTTTGACCTTGGATGTTCAATTGTTCAAGTACCATTTGTTGAAAAGAGCATTGTTTCCCAACTGAATTACCTTGGTGCCATTGTTGAAATCAATTGACCATATAAGTGTGAGTTTATATCTAAATTCTCTATTTGCTTCCATCGACCTGAATGTCTATTTGTACACTGTATCATGCTGTTTTGGTTGCTAAGGTAGTAAAGTAAATCTTGAAATCAATGGAGTATGTCCTCCAACTTTGTTATCTTTTCCCAAATTGTTTTGTCTAGTCTACATAAATTTTATAATCAGATTGTCAATTTAAAAAAAAAAAAAAAAGCCTGATGAACATTTGATTGGATTACACTGAATCTATGTTAGTTGGGGGAAAATTATCTTTAAAATATTGAGTCTTCTCTCCACCAAAAATAATGTTAAAACTAAGAAATGATTTTAGTAAAGCTGAAGGATACAAAATCAGTATACAAAAATTAGTTGCATTTTAAAAAATTTTATTTTATTGAAGTATAGTTGATTCCCAACGTTGTGTTAATTTCTGCTGTACAGCAAAGTGATTCAGTTATACCTATATATACACTCTTTTTCATATTCTTTTCTGTTATGGCTTATCACAGGATATTGAATATAGTTCCCTGTGCTATATAGTACACCAGCAAAAGAGTTTCAGAAATAAAAATTAAGAAAACAATCTCATTTAAAATAGCATCAAAAAGAATAAAATACTTAGTAATAAATTTAACCAAGGAGGTATACTGAAAACAATAAGACATGGATGAAAGAAATTGAAGAGGACACAGATAAGTGGAGATATTCTGTGTTCATGGATTGGAAGAATTAATATTGTTAAAATATCCAGACTACCCAAAATGATCTACAGATACAATGCTATCCCTGTCAAAATTCCAATGGCATTTATCACAGAATTAGAAAAGAAAATCCTAAAATGTGTATGGAACCACAAAAGATCCCAAATAACCAGTGCAATCTTGAAAAAGGATAAAGCTGGAGGCATCACACTTCCTGATTCCAAACTGTATTACAAAGCTGTAGTACTCAAAACAGTATGGTATTGGCATAAAGACACAGACATAGATCAGTGGGGTAGAATAAAGAGCCCAGAAATAAACTGATGCCTATATGGTCAGTTAATTTTCAGCAAAGGAGCCAAGAACATGGGGAAAGGATACTCTCTTTAATAAACAGTGCTGGGAAAACTGGATAGCCATGTTCAAAAGAGTGTCATTGAACTTTTATCTTACATCACTCACAAAAATCAACTCAACATGGATTAAATGCTTGAACATAAGACTTGAAACCATGAAACTCCTAGAAGAAAATATGGATGCTTTAATGATACGGGCAAAGGCCAAACTCCTAGGGTCACCAGTTTTCACAGTTCAGCTCTAGAAGATGATATTCAGTCAAACTCTATATGTGTCATTTTCCTGAGCTGAGCATCACAACACTTGCTGCAGTGCATGGCAGACCTGAAAACACCAGGCCTCAATTGAGTGAAATCCTTATTCAACTGGTTAGATTGGGTACAAAACTAGAAGATAATTCCCATCTCAATAAGCTCATAGCTTGCTGGAAATTCATCCTTCTTGTTTTCTCTGGGGTAATTAGCCAAAATCAAGAGAATCACAGAGGTCAGAGAGTTAAAGTTCAGAGGGGGCCACCCTTTAGAAGTGCTGGGGTGAACTGAAATAATTGTGCACCTCTGGAAGATGAACCATTGTGTGAGGTTATCACAGGCCCTAGAGTCAGACTGTGCAGATTTGAATTTTGGCTCTGCCTCTTATTAGCTGTGTGGCCTTAACCCTTCTGTGCCTCAGTTGCCTCATCTGTAATATGGGTATAAAATCATACTTTCATCATGTTGTTGTAAGGCATACATATATGAGTTAATGTATAAAGGAATACATAAAATGAGCTAAAACATAGATTGAGACTTGGAAAAGTATCTGGCAATGAAGATACATTCAAATGTTGGCCATTTTATAATTTTCTTTATTTAAAAATGATCGATAGCCTGTTAGGTGGGTCCTGTACAACCTCAGGAAATAAAGACATTTTTCCTTGGTTACATCTGTTTCAGTTCCTTTATCTGTGCCCAATCCTACAGAGCTTTGCTGTCACTGAAGTTTCCAAGCTGCAAATTGAATTGATAAAATAATTCCCCATGATTGCTTAAGATCTTTCTCCCCAGGAACATTTGCATTTTTATTGGAGACTCTGGAAGATACAAAAACATCCTAGTTCTTATAATTAATTGCTGTTTCTGGCCTTTTGGGCAGGCCTGCTATGCTGTACAACTCCAGGGGGTGTCATACTTGGCAGCCAGTGATGGAAATAATTTGATACAGTGGTTTTCAAACCTTGCTCACTGGCATCTCTGGAATTATGTAGGGAATAGAAAGAGAAAACTCAAAGGGCCCTGTTTCCCCCTACCACCTATAGGATCTTCTGTCTGATTTCCATATTGGACATCTGTCTACTTTAAAAAGAAGGTTTAAAGTCCACAGGTTTAGGGTAAGATCACTTTTTTTAAAAGAATGAATTTATAGAATGGAAAGGTCTTCTCACCAAGAGAGTATTGAAATCCTTGTGGCTTCGACAAAGCTAGTCTGCTCTGGGATAATGCATGGGTTCCTCATGATCAAGTAGCCTGTTATTGTTCACAGTGTACATTTTCACTTCATCTTTGCCAGGTGAGCTGGACCCCTTGTGGCTTGGTGAAAACCAAGTGTCATTGTGTGATTGATACAGTTGAATACTGAGACAGTTGATTTCTTCAAATGCCAAAGGTCTCTTGAATTTCCTATCCACAAATATGTTTATTTAGCAAATCAAAGGGACTTACATAAAACTTTATTTTCTGATTATGGAAAAAATAGAATAAAATTTTTACGTTCTCTCCGTTCTCTACTTTTGACCTTTAGGATCTCAGCTTTCAGTCTTTTTTTTTTTTTTTTTTTTTTTTTAACGTTCACAGAACGTGCACACCTTTTAAATATGGTCGTTCACTCTTAGAACCTGAAGAGGGTATCTTGATCACCTCCCACCAGGGAAGAGATTTCTCTTTATCACATGTCATAGAAGCCTACATCTTAAAATGCTGTGAATGGAAATATATTGTAAAATTTCTTTAAAATACACAGCACATCCTGTAGAGAGTGACATCTGAAAATTGCCTGAGTTAAGTTACATAAAATGCCCGAGATAGTGTAAGGTAAAGGTTGGGTCCTCATGTAAAAATGACAGGAAACATCAGCAGTGGAAAGATTACAGGGGTGGAAAGAATGCCTATACTACCGGGTATTGTCTTTTCTCATCAAAAGCCTTATTTTCCCTTCCTGTGAGTAGATCTAAGCCCCATCCACTTTACTGTTCCAACCAGTAATGTTCACTGCTTCTGATACTTACTCTGCTTCACTGGCCTATGGTGATGAATCATCAACACAGAACACAGTAAGCTCCCATTAATTCATACCTGGGAATGACTGGCCAAAATAACTGAGTAGGACATTGGTTGTGCTTTCAAGGTGGAAAGAGATCAAGAACTGTCTGTGATCCCCAATCCTGGTCAATCCTTTAAACAGATTCAAAAGGGAGCTTGTAGTTTGCTTGTATTTATGAATTTTGTAGTTTTCTTGTGTGGATGACTTTCTGCCTTGCAATGGAGTGATGGTTGTGATGGAGCATAGGAAGGAGCACGTTCACAAGGATATTCACCAGCAAATGGGGGGTGTTTGCTGGTCTCCAGACATCCATAAAACACTTGTGGTTTCTCGTAATTATCCCGTTTCTTCGACTTAGAACAGAGCTGTCCAATGAATTTTTTTGCAGTGATGGAAATATTCTTCTACACTGTCCACTATGGTCACCACTAGCCACATGTGGTTATTGAGCACTTGAAGCTAGTGTGACTGAAATTTAAATTTTATTTCAGTTTACTTAACTTTAATTTAAATAGCCATATGTGGCTATAGGCTACTGTATTCAGACAGGGCAGATAGAATGTTTTATTCAGTTCATCTCAGTCAACATTCTGTCAAAATTTACGAGGTCCATTTTGTATAACCCACCTGCGCTGAGGTTTCTGCTGAAGTTTGCAGCTAAAAGACTTCCTTGTGTTAGTTACTGAGCACTGTAACTGGACCCTAGAAGTGGCACATATCTATCCTGCCCCATTTTGTTCTTTCTGTCACCCCTGACCCCACTCCAGATGTTAAGAAATTTATTGAGAGAAGGGACTAATTAGAGAGCTTGTGCTTAATAAAAACTCAATGAGCATTTGTTGAATAAATGCAGAGTTGCACCAACCATAAATGTTGCAAAAGTGTAGCCAGTTAGATGGCACGTGTCCTGGCTGTGTGAGAGAAACTGGGTCAGTAGAATAGGTGGGAGAGAATGACTAATTCATACAGTGACCACAGGGTGTTAGCCTATTTTATTTGGCTTGGAGGCAAGAATAATTGTGGAGACCGGAAGTACTAATGATTTTTATTAAAGTAAATGAGGGGGCGTGGCCACTCAGTACACTAACACTTTATGAAGAATTCTGGGATCAGTCCTGGTGAAATAGTGATAAATTCATCCTGACCCACGCTTTTTTCCAGAATTAGTTTGTAAAATGATGAACTCTCACTTCCTAAATTTTCTGCAGATGCTACCATTGCTGGGGAAATGTCACTGTTAGAGAATAGAAAACTGTTATTCCAAAGAGTACTGAAGACTGACTGAATGAGGTCTGGAGCATTATTGAAATGGTAAGATAAACTCAAGTACTTTCTGATAAAAGAAAAATTCTTTTTAAAAAATGTGGTCCCTTCTGAATCATGGCCAAATGTCACTGAATCATTTTCAGTGAAATTTTATCTGTTAATGGGGAGGAGATGGGACGAGGCTCTGAGCTCCTCCTGGCAACCCTGCAGCTGAGGCTGTTCTCCCTTGAGATAGCTGGTAATGGAAGCAGCTGAAGCTGGAGGTCATTAACATTTTGAGAACACCACAAACTGACACTGTGTAATATTTTGACATTTCATCCCGAGACATTTAATCTCTTTTAATCAGTGTTTATGTTGGGGATACTTCACAGTTATTTGCTTTTGCATAAAAATGGAACACTTTGGCATGTCATTAACATAAGACTGGTTTACTTTATTACTGATTGCAATTGTTTCTAGATCTCTCTCCCTCCCTTCCCCCCGTACCTCTCTCCTCTCCCTTCCTCCTTTTCTTCTCTTTTCCCCCTTTTCCTCTCTTCATTGTTTCTGGCTTTTGCTTTCACCTACGCTTTTTTTTTAATTTTTTTATTTTTTTATGCGGTACGTGGGCCTCTCACTGCTGTGGCCTCTCCCATTGCGGAGCACAGGCTCTGGACGCGCAGGCTCAGCGGCCATGGCTCACGGGCCCAGCCACTCCGCGGCATGTGGGATCTTCCCGGACCGGGGCACGAACCCGTGTCCCCTGCATCAGCAGGCGGACTCTCAGCCACTGCGCCACCAGGGAAGCCCTCACCTATGCTATTTTTGAAAGCCATTTCAATTTTTCCCTTTGCTGATATTCTTCCTGGGATGTTAGTGATCTGAGGTTCTCAGGCTACCTTCTTAGTAAACTTTCGCTGGAGAGTCTGGAAGAAAACCCACCTCACCTCTCTGAAAAATGCTCATGGTCCCCATCGTCCTAAGTTAGGAGACACTTGTTCCCCTCTGAATGTTCCTCCAGCCAGGGATGACTTCCCTGCACGTACTTTTCTTCTCCCCTAACCCTAACCCCCCACCCCACTCCCCACCCGCTACCCCCCCCTTTGCTTCTCTCATTTGCTTCAGATATTGTCGTAAGCTTCCAGCATCTGTCCTCATGTCACCAATTCTTTTTCCTCCTTGTGAGTGAGGCGCTTTGTCTTACTTTAAAGCTACTTCAACTTTTCTTCCCCCTGCAAAACCTTTTCATTAAATGCAAAACTGATAATTGTTGATTATTTTATATTAGAGAAAGGATATATTCCTGAGCGTAAGCAAGTGGTTCCAAATTTCAACCCACGAACTAGGTGTAATTTTCTTTATTTAAAACAAATGAGCATTTATGTTAAAATTATAAATCTCTTACTATGCCAAGTCGTCAAAACCTAATCTCAGTTTAGGGAAGTGTTTCTCAACCTTGACCTTGCTGACATTTGGGGCTGGGTGCTTCTTTGTTTGGGGGGTGCCATTTTGTGCACCGTAGAATGTTCAGCAGCACCTCTGACCTCTGCCTATCAGATTCCAGCAGCACCCCCCACTTGTGACAACAAAACATGTCTCCAGGTATTGCCAAATGTCTGCTGGGGAGCGAGATAGTCCCACATTGAGAGCCCATGTGTTTAGTGGAGTGCCTCTTCCTTTCTGTGGGGTGATGTCTAAGAGCGAAGGCAGAGACTTGAGGGATGGAGAAGACCTTTCCTTGAAATCATTCTTCATCTACATAGACTCAAAGGAGGGGTCTCTATTCCCATTTTGACTTTGGGCCCCTGGTGCATCTACTACGATCTTACAAATGACTTTCAGAGCGGCTGTCTCTGCTCTGCTCTCAGGCGCAAAGCCCTTCCTGCATTATTGCAAGATACTCTGTTACGTGGCCTCAGGCCTGTCCTGGTGCCATGCTGGGGGGCTAGGCTGAGGGACAGGACACAGGAATCTTGCTGGTTCCAGGCACTCCCCTGGGGCTAGGGGCCCAGTTCTGTCTGATCTGGGATTCCCAGTTCCGTCTGCAGAGACTGTTCTGTAGGAAACAGAGCTTAGGAACTCACCATCATTTAACTTGGATTCTGCCGTGGCTGCTCTTGTTCCCCGCAGTCATGACCACTTTGATGTAGTCTGAGGACAAGCTGGCCTGGCTCTTTATCTGGTTTTCCAGAGATAATGTTTTATGGCTTGGGGGTTACATACTTCATAGTGATGCTTTTAACACCAAAAAGATTTTCTCTGCCATATTATCCCTTCCCTGAGGCAATGACTTCTACTGAATGAATGGGTGGGAATACAAAGATACAAGAAAATGAGAGAAAAAAGTTTTGGTTAAAATTTCAATTATTAAAAAAAAAACAGGGCTTCTCTGGTGGCGCAGTGGTTGGGAGTCCACCTGCTGATGCAGGGGACACGGGTTCGTGCCCCGGTCCGGGAAGATCCCACATGCCGCGGAGCGGCTGGGTCCGTGAGCCATGGCCTCTCAGCCTGCGTGTCCGGAGCCTATGCTCCATAATGGGAGAGGCCGCAACAGTGAGAGGCCCATGTACCAGGAAAAAAAAAAAAAAATCACTTTTTTATTCTAGTGCTATATTACCATAGAAATATAAATATTTGGAAAACTAGATAAAGAGTCATTTTATCCTCAGCCTATAGAAGGATGATTAGGGCTGTTGGGGAACAAGATATTCCCAGGGAAGCAAAGAGCTTAGCTGATGGTGCACTCCTGAGCTGGGTGTCCTGTGGGTAGGACTCCCACAATGGAATTGGGAATTTAAGATGACGTAGTATGATTTCACCTGTGCGCTATGGTTTTGCTTTGGTTAATGAGCCAAGGGTTCCTTAGTAATCCTCTGCAGTTCTGGGCATCTGGTGATCATTGCTCTTTGCAAGGCCTCTGGTCCACTCCTCACTCCCAATTCCCCAAGGTATATTTGGTTTATATTCTTCTTTTCTAAAGTATTAGTGTAAGCCATGAATTATTTCATGAGTTGTAATTTGCATAGATAGTATTGGGTTCCTTATGTTTTTCACTCAGCCCTCTGTATTTAGAGTATGATGGGTCTAAACAGTTATCTCTTTTTTGTTTTAAAGTGTGTTCCTCTGATTACCAATGATTTTCGGCCCCTATTATATATTGGGTTTCTTTGGCTCTGAATTGGCTCAGATATCCTTTACTCATTTTTAAAATTTGAGATTCTTATGCTTTTTTCATATGCATGAGTTTCTTGTATATTTAGATAATAATTTCCTTGTGGTTTTATTCCTGGCAAATATCATCTCTCTGCAACAGCTTTATGTTAACTTGATTCACAGAAATTCTTAATTTGATGTGATTAAAACTATTAATGATGCTTTTGGAATTTTAAGTTCTTCCCTAACCCTAGGGCACATTATCTTCTGCCTTGGTTTCTTTTGGCTTATTTCTTTAATATACGTGGATTCCATTCTTGTAGGTGATAATAGGTATGGATTTTTTTCCATAATGAGCAGCTTTCCTATCATCGTTCACTAAACAGTCTGACTTGTGGTACCACCTTTATTATGCAGTAAATTCTGAGATACGAGTCTGTCTTACAGCCATCCTGGTCTGTAGGTCAATTTGTCTATTTTTGTATTAATATTATACTGTTTGTATTATAATGACCTTCTAGTAAGTCTTAGTAACTGTTAGGCCAAGTGTTCCATCTCATATGCTTATCATGGTGATGTTGTCTAGAATCATAACTCAGGGCTGCTTGTAAGCATCACTTTGGGGACTAGGATTTCAACATATGAATTTTTGGGGAGATACAAACATTTAACCCATAGCATAATGACAGAGAGTACATGAATCAAGGGAAACTCTTGAACGTTGCTGGTGAGAGTGTACAAAGATACAACCAGTAGGAAAAACAAGTTGGTACTATTTTATAAAGCTTAACATGTACATTGTCCATAATACACCAGTTCTATTCCTGTATGCATTATATACCACAAAGAAATAGTTGTTTATGTATCCAAAAAAGAGATAGAAGAATATTTGCACCAGTATCATAACAGCAACAAATTGGCAATAACAAAATGTCCTTAGGAAAATGGATGAACAAATTATACAGTATTTGTGTAATGAAATATCTTTTCAACAGTGAAGTTGAACTACAACAATGTGTATCACCAAGGGTGAATTAAAAAGTATTATTAAGGGGTAAAAACAAGACTGAAAAGAATGAATTTAAGATTTCAATTTTATAAATTTCAAAAAATAAGCAAAACTAACATGTATTAAAAAGTGTGATTAGGGGCTTCCCTGGTGGTGCAGTGGTTGGGAGTCCGCCTGCCGATGCAGGGGACGCGGGTTCGTGCCCCTGTCCGGGAGGATCCCGCATGCCGCGGAGCGGCTGGGCCCGTGGGCCATGGCCGCTGGGCCTGCGCGTCCGGAGCCTGTGCTCCGTGATGGGAGAGGCCACAGCGGTGAGAGGCCCACGTACCGCAAAAAAAAAAAAAAATGTGATTAGGGCGCAATGGTTGAGAGTCTGCCTGCCAATGCAGGGCACATGGGTTCATGCCCCGGTCCGAGAAGATCCTACATGCCGCAGAGCAGCTGGGCCCATGAGCTATGGCCGCTGAGCCTGTGCGTCCGGAGCCTGTGCTTCGCAACAGGAGAGGCCACAACAGTGAGTGGCCCGTGTACTGCAAAAAAAAAAAAAAAAAAAATTGTGATTAAACTGGAGAGGTTGTGGAGAAAAGGAAACCCTCCTACACTGTTAGTGGGAATATAAATTGGTGCAGCCACTACAGAGAATAGTATGGAGATTCCTCAAAAAACTAAAAATAGAGTTGCCATATGATGCAGCAATCCCATTCCTCGGCATATATCCAGACAAAACTGTAATTCGAATGGATATATACATCCCTATGTTCATAGCAGCACTATTTACAACAGCCAAGACATGGAAACAACCTAAATGTCCATCGGCAGATGAATGGGTAAAGAAGATGTGGTATATATATATATATATACACACACACATACACATACATACATACAGTGGAATATTACT